CTGCCTGAGCGAAGGCGGAGGCTCCTCCCTTTGCCTAGCGGGTCCAGAGGGACGCATCCCCACAACCGATGAAGGGTGGTGCTGTATGCCACCCTCACCCCCAAGCACTCTCTCTCCCTCCCTCCCTCCCTCCCTCCGGGGAGAGATGGGCTGAGGGGGGGCCTCCCACGCAGCCCCAGGGCTGACCTCCCATTTCCTGGTGCCTCTCCCTTAGCTAATCATAGCTGAGGTGGGACTGATCTCCAAATGCTCCCCCAGGCTCCTTCTCGGTTATTGTTAAGTGCTCCAAGTGGCTTACAGCAATAATAGGCTCACCTATAACAATGCAGTAATTGACAAAAATTATTGGAAAGTATCTGTGTATAAAAAATTATAGAATCCAAGGATTGGAAGGGCCTTGGGGTCTTCTGGGCAGGACTCCTCAGATGAAGGGCTATCCAACCTTTGCTTGAAAACCTTTAATGATGAAGCCCCCATGACTCCAGCAAGGTGTTCCACAGCAGCTCTGACCGCCAGGAAATTCCTCTATATTTCAAGTTTGGATCTTCCTCTGTAAAGCCTCCACCTGTTGGTTCTTTTCTTACCCTGGATCCCTCTTCCCTAGGACATCTCTTCTAGCATTAAACTATCAAAAATATATTCATCAAAAAAAATGATGCTGCTTTTAAAAACTTCCTGAATATAAAGAAGTCCATAAAGCTCCATCCTTGGTGGTGCTAAACGACCTTTGAAGATGGTATTATTTTATTGGGCCTTGAACCCAAGCAAAGTTGATCAGTGTTCATCTTGGGGGAAGGGTTAATGTCATATTACTTTTGTTGCTTAGTTTGATTTATTGCTCTCTTTATCATTTTGAGGTGTAGTGACAGTCTTTAGAGATGGGAAGGCTATAAAACAGAAAAATCAACCATGGGAAAGTGAGGGGGGGGGTCTTCTCTCTGCAGAGACACCTCACCTCTCACACTTTGCTCAACAAGAATTCCTGACAAGCACAGTCTTGCCATTTGCTGTAGACTCTGTGTTGGCATACTGACTGACCCAACTGGATAATTTTTTAAAAATCCTAATTTTAAATACCTCAACAAATAAAAAGGTTTCAACCTAGGACCAAACTATACACAGCCAGTACTAGGTGTGCTTCTTGAATGAGAACGTGCCAAAGCAAGAGACCCATCAGAAGGAACTTTTCTCTCTTTCACATGCACAGCGAGCTCTTCCTTGAGGTGAGTGTGGCAGAGGACCTCTTCTGGTGTCTTTATGGCACCCTGGAATGAGAAGGGAGTGGTGGCACTTGACAGGGTTGCTCCAGAACAGCCTCTCTGTCCTCAAGAGACCATCACTCAACTGCAAATTTTAGAAAATTATTGACCAGTTTCCAACTTCCCTTCTTAGGGAAAATTCTTGATAAGGTGGTTGGACTATAGTTACAGAGCCTGGATGAAAAACTCTATCTGGATCCTGTTCAGTCAGGATTCAGACCTGAGTGTGGGACTGAAACTGCTTGAGTCACTGTTGTTGACAAGGCTCGACAAGACCAAGATGAAGGAAATGCAACTATCCTGGTTCTGCTGTTTCTCTCAGCCCTTTCAGCACCATTGACCATGTTATTCTTCTGGACCTAATCAAAGTGGTTCTTCTCCTCCCTGAGGGGGTGAGGAGGAGTCAGGCCATTGGTCCCGAGTTATGAAGTCCCACAGGGCCTTGTTCTCTCCTGCCCCCAGCCCTCCCCTCCCCTCCCCTCCTGTTTAGCATCTACACGTGGCTGCTGGGGGAGGCCGTCCACAGCATGGGATGTTATGATATGCTGATGACACACTGTCATACCTCCACCCCAGGACCACTTAGCTCCACGTTTTCAAACCATCCCCTCCTTGCTACATTTTCAAAAACATGATTTTCCAGAAAGGCGTTTAGGGATGAGTAAGATCATGCTACCCCAAACAGGTCACAACTATATTAATTGATTTTTGTTTTTAATCTTCTGATATTACTGTAAACTGCTTGGAATCTTCAGAAGTAGAAGTAAAAATAAATGCATAAATGCACTTTCAGATAAGGGCCAAAGCTGTTCAGAATTTTAAAGGACTACGCTGAGTCCAGCTCAAGAGTTAGCCAGCACAGCTCCTTCAGAGCAGATGTAACACTGTGCCAGCTTGGAAGACTAGACAGAATTTCAACAGGACGCTCCGCTAATTGAATCTCCTGAGCCTGTTTCCACAGCAGCTTCAGCTCTCATGCACTTTAGCAGTAGAGTTTTCAAATTATGAGACATAATTCGATTTCATTCTGCATTGACCAGACTCACCTTGAATTTTCTGAGCAGCTTTAGGGATTTAAACAAGCACAACGGGGGCATCGTTCAGAAGGCCAAGGTCTGCCCTGTGTCCACAGAAGGCGGGGCACGGAAGGGCAGGTGGCAGGCAGGATAGGAGGCTGCCTGGGATGAGAGCAGTTCGGTTAGTGACGAGGGAGGGAAGGAGCTCCGCTCGGAAACGGGTTCAAGGACAGGCCGCTGCTGTTTTATACAGCGCATCAACACACACGCTGTGGGTTGCATCGTTCAGTTCAGATTGTTTCAACTGATTTGTTCTTTGGTGTTCTTAAAACCGATTTAAGATTTTACAAATTAGTTCTACCAAATTTTACATGTTGCATTCTTAGACAGTGTACTGTATCTTTAAGACTTGAAAGGCAACCGAGAAATGCCTTTCTTAGAAATAGTTAAAACAAATGAATTGGGGCACATTAGGAGCTGAGACAACAGGGGGAAAGCCCCTTGCGGCTTTCTAAGTGCTCAGGCAGCCAAGCTGGAGGAGTCGGAGTCTAGTCTGCACCAACTGGCAGGCCACATAAACAGGGAGCAAACCCTACCCTCCTTCCCACTGACGATGGGACCTAGCTGGGTCATGAATGTCTGCAAGCAAACCGCCAGGCTCAGGCAGTACCGAGTGCCGCACAGCTCAATCCCGAGCTACAGAGATCCGCTTCGCCTGGAACGAGTCTTCATTATGCCCGAGGCAAATCTCCTGTAGCTGCATGGAGGAGCAAAAAGCTGTTTTTTGCTATTGAGACTCCCAGACTGCAATCCATGAGGTTGGCCATTTTAACAGTGCTGTGGGAAACCCCATAAAATACTTGGTTCTGAGATTTTGGAAATGCCTGGCAACATCAGCAGAATGGGAGTGCATTGTGATCTGCTGGGTTCACTAAAACCCTACTTTGTATTTGTTTTTATTTATTTATTAAATTTGTATGCCGCCCATCTCCCCCAGCGAGTGACGCTTGTAATCTGTGTACTCTGTTCTAGTTTTTCAGAAGATGGAATCAAGTTCAGATAGCAGCACGGTCCATTTTGCAAAAACCTACCGGGTAGTTTTGCAGAAACTGTCTGTGAAAAGGAGGTGAGGAACAAGAAGGCATTGAATTCAAATTGTGCCTTAGTCAAAGCAAGGAAATGCAACCCAGGTTCTTCTAGTGAACCCGGCCTCAAAACTGGGATGGGGGGGTTTCTATCTCCACACAAAGAACCGAAGCCAAAGTGTGGGACGGGGGGGGGGGGGCG